CAGGACCTTGGGCAGGTCTCTGAACCGCTCTGTGCCTCAGTTTGTCTAACAGGGGGAATAACCTTATTCCTCATAGGATTCTTGAAATTTTGAAATTCATACCCATAAAAGTGCTTAAGGGTCTGCTATGTAGTAGGACTTAATAAACTTTAGCTGTTATTATCACCACCATCATCATTATAGTCAAAAATGGGTTAGGAGCAGGAGGGATGGCTCTAGCCCGGTTCTGTCACTGCCCTGCTGTGCATCCTTGAGGCGAGTGGCGCAGCCTCTCTGGGCCCAGTGTCTCTGTCTATAACGCGATAGTTGAGACTAGTTCTCCATTTCCCACAGCATGATACGATACTTGTGCAAGTTTTACATGGTTTCTGGGAGAAAGTTTTAAAATCTGAGTTGGATCTTTATTTTTATTTTTATTTTTTTGCGCTACGCGGGCCTCTCACTGCTGTGGCCTCTCCCATTGCGGAGCACCGGCTCCGGACGCGCAGGCTCAGCTGCCATGGCTCACGGGGCCCAGTCGCTCCGCGGCACGTGGGATCTTCCCGGACCGGGGCACGAACCCGCGTCCCCTGCATCGGCAGGCGGACCCTTAACCACTGCGCCACCAGGGAAGCCCCTGGATCTTTATTTTAACATCTGTTAGGGAAAAAATATATCTGGCATCTCAAATCTGTGTTTTCAGAGATCCGTTGCTTAGAGTGGGGCTCAATTAGGCATCGTTAGGGTCCCCACGCTCTGCAACCCACTGGAGTCAGGGTAAAAGGGGTGTGGGGAGAAGGGGGTGGTCTATGACTCCTCTCACTGCAGTCTTCTTTCCCCACAGGTGCTGCAAAATCAGCTTTGAACTGTGAGGCAGGGCCACCTCATGTCAACTGCTCATCTCCCACCAGGACCGAGCTGGAGCCCCGTCATTGTCCCCTTTAAATTCCCTGTATTAGTAACCCTGCTCTGATGTAGCCCTTACTCACCTCCTTCCTGTTTCTTAAAAACCCTTCCCACATTCCCCAGACCGAGCCCTTCCTCTCTTTCATCCCTCACAGGACACCTCCTTTTCCGTAATTTTCTCCTCACTGTCTACCTTACTTATTTCCTTATTTCTTACTGGGAAATGCTAGCACCCCCAACCATCTTGCCTGTTCTTTTCAACACTCCCTAACTGTAGACTATCCTATCTCAACACTATCCCATACATTTCCACCCCACCGTTACCTCAGCATGGCCACGCTTACTTTCTACATCCTCCGCAAATCTCTCTCTCTCACCACTGCCCACTGATGCCTTCAGCTCCTCTATAAACAGCCCCCTCAGTCAATGTTGTGTGACCCCAGTACTCCTCCATTTATACTCTGATTGGGTTCATAAAACCTCCTCGACAAAGATCTTTGTGAATCCTGCCATCCCGCAGACCTCCTTCTTGTCGTAATTCTATCCCTCCCCCAACTTTTCCCTCTCAAGCTCTATCCTTCCCTGCCCAGCCTGGCACACGATTAGTGGTCAGCCTCATCTCTTCGCTGTGGACTGCCTCCCACCATGTTCCCCTGAGCCTCCGAGGAGGGGGCTCAGGGGGCCTGATGGCCTCCCGCCACCCATGGCCCCACAGCCCCCGTGGGCCAGGGGAAGCATCTCGAAAGCCTCAGTGCCGAGGATGGGCAACCGCACGTGGGAGGGCTGCCACGTGGACTCCCTCGTGGACCACCTCTTCCCACCCTCCCTCTACATCTTTGTCATCGGCGTGGGACTGCCCACCAACTGTCTGGCCCTGTGGGCCGCCTACCGCCAGGTGCGGCAACACAATGAGTTGGGTGTGTACTTGATGAACCTCAGCATCGCTGACCTGCTGTACATCTGCACGCTGCCGCTGTGGGTGGATTACTTCCTGCACCACGACAACTGGATCCACGGCCCCAGCTCCTGCAAGCTCTTCGGGTTCATCTTTTATACCAACATCTACATCAGCATCGCCTTCCTCTGCTGCATCTCCGTGGACCGCTACCTGGCCGTGGCCCACCCACTGCGGTTCACCCGCCTGCGCCGCGTCAAGACAGCCGTGGCTGTGAGCTCCGTGGTCTGGGCCACGGAGCTGGGAGCCAACTCAGCGCCCCTGTTCCACGATGAGCTCTTCCGCGACCGTTACAACCACACCTTCTGCTTTGAGAAGTTCCCCATGGAGAGCTGGGTGGCCTGGATGAACCTCTACCGGGTCTTCGTGGGCTTCCTGTTCCCGTGGGCCCTCATGCTGCTCTCCTACCGTGGCATCCTGCGGGCTGTGCGGGGCAGCGTGTCCACCGAGCGCCAGGAGAAGGCCAAGATCAAGAGGCTGGCCCTCAGCCTCATTGCCATCGTGCTGGTCTGCTTTGCGCCCTACCATGTGCTCCTGCTCTCCCGCAGCGCCGTCTACCTGCGCCACCCCTGGGACTGTGGCTTCGAGGAGCGTGTGTTCTCGGCGTACCACAGCTCACTGGCCTTCACCAGCCTCAACTGTGTGGCCGACCCCATCCTCTACTGCCTCGTCAACGAGGGCGCCCGCAGTCACGTGGCCAAGGCCCTGCACAACCTGCTCCGCTTTCTGGCCAGTGACAAACCCCAGGAGATGGCCAACGTCTCGCTCACCCTGGAGACCCCACTCACTTCCAAGAGGAACAGCGTGGCCAAGGCCATGGCAGCCAGCTGGGTGGCCGCTCAGCCCTCCCAGAGGGACCAGGTGCAGCTGAAGATGCTGCTGCCGGCACAGTGAACCCCGTGTTGTGCAGAGCCCCCACTCCTCCATACTAACCCCACCCTCCCTTCCCTCCTGGTCCGGTGTATGCAAATTGTATGCAAATGAGGCTATGCTAATTTCCATAAGCATGTAAGAAAATAGGAAAATAGTGAGGTTGATGTGTCACTGGTCAACCATCGTCCTCCACCATGACCCCCTAACAATTCAGTAGAACTGTGCCTAGCCCTGCGCTGGGTGGTGCTAGTGACCCAGCGGTGAAAAATGACAGCGCTGGCCCTGCCCTCATGGCTCCCACTCCACTGGGGGAGACAGATCTGTCCCTGGATAGTGATGACCCAGAGTGGGCAGGGCTCAGACGGGGAGCCCAGGGGCTGGGGGAACCCAAGAAGGCATCAGACCCAGTCTGGGGGTCAGAAAGTGCTTCCTAGAGGAAGGGACCAGTAGATTAACTTTCTGGAAGGTAAAGACAAAAAAGTTAGGATTACTTTCAACAAGGGGATAAAAGTCTGTGACTCACGGGGAAGGTGGAAGAAGAAACTCACCGAGTGCTGAGTGGTCACTTTTGCCTTTGGGAAGCCCCTGGTCATATAGGGGAGAGAGAGAGCAGGACAGAGCGTTTCAGAGTTTCAAGATAAACAGCATTCTCCAGGTCAGGACTGAGGAGGAGGGAGCAGAATCAAATGAAGGGCAATCAGCAAACGGGCTGGTGGAGCAGGGAGCAGGGCAGGCTTGGGAAGGGGGCTGGGGACAAGAGAAGGGTATTTATTCATTCATTCAAGGGAGATTTGTTTATACCTACTCTCTGCCCAGCCCTGTGCTGGCCGGCAGCTGGGGACAAAACGGTGACCAAGACAGCCCAGGCCCCGCCCTCACGGAGCTCACAGTAAATGAATAAAGATAAACATAACACTTGGAATCGATAAGGGTAATGGGGAAAAATAAAGCTGACTGGGGGGACAGAGAGTGATGTGGAGTCTGATCTAGATAAGGAGGTCGGGGAGGGCTCACGGAGAAGGGGGCATTTGAAAAAAGACCTGAAGGAGGAAAGGGGTCAGATGGAAGAGTGCTGCAGGCCGAGGGAACAGCAACTGCAAAACCTGGAGTAAGAGACTGCCTGCATTTGAGGGCCAGCAAGTATACACAGTGGTGTGGCGGGAACCGGGGGCGGGAGGATGTGAGGAATGGAATTGAGACAGGCCAGAGACAGGGGCCCATATTACAGAGCTTTGTGAATCCACGTGAGGACTTTGCCTTTTATTCCAAGAGAAATGGGAGCTACAGAGGGGCTCTTAGCAGAGAAGGATTGGGATTTGGCTGCTGAGTGGGGAACAGAATATGGGAAGTAAGGGCAGAAGCCAGGAGCCCAGGCAGGAGATGCTGATGGCTGGACTGGGGTCGGGGGTGGGTGGTAGTGGAGTGGGGAAGGATCCGTGTCAGCTTTGGGATTTATCTTGAAGAAATTCGATGATGGAAGAAGCTCAGGGGCCGGTGGGATTGTGTAACTCAAGCCCTTGCCCATCCTGGGAAAAGGGTGACCAGGGGACCTGAACTGGAAGGACGTCTGGGAATGATCCCAGGCCCTACTCAAAGGCCGTCACCAAAGAGGCCAAGTGATTAGCCCAGGGTCACACAGCCAGTGAGTCAACGCCGGGGCCATCCTGGGATCCCTCTCCCCTCCCTGTCTCTGCCTCTGTTCCCATGCCCCAGAGTGGCCAAGGCTGCTGTCCTGGCTGATGGTGTTCCCCTCCCTCCCCTGGCCCTCAGGGGTCAACCAGGAATGGCTGTCCTTCTAGAACTAGGCTGGAGAGCAGGAGGAAACACACAGCTCTGGACAGGCCTCACCCCTTCTGATAGGCCATCTCCCTCCCTTCCTCCCCACGGGTGTGTAACAGGCTCCAGGCTCCTGATGAGATGTGAAGATCTCCCTAAACACACACACACACACACACACCACACACACACACACAGGGGCACAAATACATCATTGCCCCAGAAGTTCGCAGAAGAGGTTCCTGGAAACCCTTCTCAGAGAAAGAAAGAGGAGGGAGGAGGGGAGTGAGAAAAAAAATGAACTTAATGAGGAAAATGGTTTTGCAGGAGGAGGGGTGGGTCACTGAGATGCAGGAAGTTGGGTCTTTGGTGTTGTGGGGAAGAGAAAAGAGGGAGGCCTGGGATCTGGGTGGAGAGGGGGGGCTGGTAGTTTTCCCACCCTATCTCACTGCTATAAAGCTACTGGGATGGAGATGTAGGGGAACAGAAGCTTTCTGAACACAGTCCCCTCAGGGAATCAGATGAAAGCCTGCATGCTACCCCTCCACCAAATGCTCATTCCCCTTCATTCAATAAATATTTATTGAGCACCTACTATGTGCCAAACATTGTTCTAGAAGCTGAGGAAACAATAGTGAATTATAAACAAAAAAGTCATGTACAAGTTTGGAAGCTTCCTAAAACCATCATGTGGAACCTCAGCGCCCCACCCCCACCCCAAGTAGGTCCTTAGGCCCCAGGCTAACACCCCCAGGGATCAGGAGAAGACTCTGGGCTGGGACTCAAGAAACCCCAGCCTCGGTTCCATCTTGATTACCTCTGGAACTCTGGATAAATCCTTGTCATCCTCTGGCTCCAGTTGGTCAGTCAGTAAAATGGCGGGGGGGGTCCCTAGTGGATGATGGACCTTGAATGGTCCCAAGCTCCTTAACATCTTTAGCCCAGAAAGGGTCCTGGGGAGAAGCTGTTTTTATGGAGTCTTGGCATTCTTAGTAATTTAGAATATCGAGGCTCACACATGTCAGTATCATCATTACAGATGGAGAAATGGAAGTCCATCAGGGCCAAGGAAGTGACAAAGGACACTCAGGGAGTCCGAGAGGATGCCAAGTAAAGCCCTGGGCCCCCCAACTCTGTGTCCTGAATGTTTGTTTCCTCCTGTACACAGCTTCTCTGTTCCTTGCACTTCCCCTCTTCCTCTGCCTCTTTGAGAATCTCTCAATTACCCATCAGCACTCCACCACCCAGAAATTTCTCTCAACCTCTTCTTGACCTTGTTTATATGATTTTGCTCCCTGCTGGGTAAGGGATGACAGTCTGGGACACTTCCTTAAACTCCTTCCTGAGCCAGCTCCCTAGGGACCCTCGCTCCCCAATGGAGGAAGTGGGGCTGCTTGAGAACGGTAGAGTTTATCAGCCAAGATGCTGGGCTATCAACCTCTGCTGGCTGAGGGAACTTGTGCCACTCTCCTGGCCCCTCTTTGGGTCTCAGTTTGTCAGTTACTTGGGAAATGGTTGGATTCTGGAGATGAAATGCGCCCTCATGCTGGAGTTAGCAATAATAATGCTAATACCTGTACAGTAATAAGGGCTGTTTATTGGGTGATTGGCACCATTCTAAGCTCTTAACATAGTTCACTATGTTTTTATATTCAAAATTTGCATGCAAGGCTTACAACAACCCAATAAGGTAAGTGTTCTTTTTTTTTTTTTAGTAAATTTATTTAGTTAGTTAGTTTTGGCTGTGCTGGGTCTTCGTTGCTGCGCAGGGGCTTTCTCTGCTTGCGGTGAGCAGGGCTACTCTTCCGTGCAGCGCCTGGGTTTCTCATTGCGGTGCCTTCTCTTGTGGAGCATGGGCCCTAGAGTGCGCGAGCTTCAGTAGTTGTGGCACACGGGCTCAGTAGTTGTGGCTCGCAGGGTCTAGAGCGCAGGCTCAGTACTTGCGGCGCACGGGCTTAGCTGCTCCGCGGCATGTGGGATCTTCCCAGCCCAGGGCTTGAACCCATATCCCCTACATTGGCAAGCAGATTCTTAACCACTGCACCACCAGGAAAGTCCCAAGGTGTAAGTGTTCTTATGATTCCCATTTTGTAGATGGGACTACTGATGCCCAGAGAGGTTAAGTCACTCGCCACACACAGCAAGTAAACAGTGGAGCTGGGTTCCCAATCCAGGTCTGTATGACTACCTGGACAGTTTCTTACGCCCAGTGAGAGCTCTAAACTGCGGGAGGGCGGGGGAAGGTGCATTTGGGACTCTTTAGCCTTAATTAGGACTAATTAAGACTCCTCCTTTGGAGATGCCACCCAGATGTGACGTCACGGAGGAGGGTGGTGACGTCAGCCAAAGCGGGCGTGGGAACCCACGCACGCTCCGCGAGCTGCCGTTTAACGGCACCACCCTCTGACACTTAACTTTCGCCGTATATTTGCATATTCATCGGAACGGACGTCGGAGCGTCAGCGTTGACGTGGTGTCGTCACGGAGCGCCCCTGCAGTTCCCAATAGGGCGTACGCACGTACGTAGGCACGCACAGCGACGAGCGGGCGGGGGAGAAGGGAGAGATCGGAGGCGCCCCTCCCAGTCAGCAAGGTTGCGCGTGCCCCTTGCAACCGCCAAGATGGTGGTGGGCGCGTTCCCTATGGCGAAGCTGCTATACCTGGGCATCCGGCAGGTCAGCAAGCCGCTTGCCAACCGCATTAAGGAAGCCGCCCGCCGAAGCGAGTTCTTCAAGACCTATATCTGCCTCCCGCCTGCTCAGCGTGAGTCTGACCCCACGTCCCTCCAACCTTCCCATTCTCTAACCGCTTTCAGGTGGTTGCTCAGGAGATGGACTTCTGTTCACGACCAATCACAGCCCGAACCGGCAAAGTCTTTCAGCCACTAGGGAGGGTCCCTGGGAGAGGGGCATGCGGGTAGCCCAATAGTAAGAAAGGGCATGGGGTTAAGGGCGGGGCACGGCGACCGCGCTTGAGTTGGGAATACTAGCCAATAGAGGAAAAGAGCGCGTGGAGACTGACGTCTAGACGGACCAGTGATGTGGGGAATGGGAGTGATTTGGGCGGGGCATTCCAGGGCTGAGAGGAGCCGGGGGAGACCGGAGCTCCGGTCGTTTGACCAAGTGGGGTCGTTTGCCAGACCATCCCTGGGAGGGTTCGCTCTGAAGACCACCTCGTGCCTCAGTTTCCCTCCCGTCCTGGGAGTTGAGAGGTGCTTATGTATCATCCGTTTAGGACATTCATTGGTTTGCCCCAGTTGTACTTCGGGAAATAGGCCTGGGTAGAGGCGTGGCTCGGGGCGAAGTCTGGGGTCTGGGTGCGTGACCTGGGAATCTGGCTAAAGGAGTAATTTTAACTAGAGTGAACATTTGTCCAT